CGGCGGCCCCCGGTCGCCCCCGGGACGCCCCCCAAGCCCAAGAATGGTTCGGTCCACAGCCACATCAATGTTTATTCCGCGAGTCCGTGTCCCACGGGTCGGCGACACTCCGTCCCCCTCTTCCGGCTCCGTGCGGCGGCTGGGGCCGGGCCCCGCCCCCACTCCGGCGCAGCCAATTCTCGCCCGGCTTGCAGGAGTTCATTTGCATTTCCGGGAGCAGCTGGCCAATGGGAAGGCAAGGCCCGCCTCCCCTCCCGAGGGGGCGGCGCTCCAGGTGGACCGCACCACTCCCGGGATGCAGGGATGGGGAGGCCCTTCCACCAGGGTCCGGAGCTCGGCAGGGTGGGCTCCCTCGAGGCAGGGTCGGCGTCAGCGGAAGAGGGGATTCTGGCCCTGGAAGAGGCCCAGCAGCCCGCTGTCTGGGGCGGGCTCCTTGATGATCTTCTGGATCTGCAGAGACAGGGGGCGGTGGATCAGGAGGGTCAGGGGTCCCGTGCCCACGACGACCTGTCTCAGGGACACCCTCCACCCCCATCTCCCGACCCTCTTGCAGCAGCTGACCAAGCCAACTATCCCTTCTTCCCAACGTCTTCCCGGGGCCTCCCTCTCAACCCACGCCTGGTTGAGGCCCAACTGCCCGGATCTTGGTCTGCTTGGCTGGCTTGGCCCACCTAGGGTGGACGGCTCTGTCTGGGGGCTTGTTGTCTACACCTTACTCTTCTGAGGTCACCTGGTCTCTCCTACCCTTCTTCTTAGCCCTCGGCTCCCAAATCCAGCCCAGGCTTTGTCTCTGAACTCCAGACTCATTAACCCAACTGACTCTTAGGCATGAGCCACCAACCACATTTCCTTCAGTAATCAGCAGGTCCCGCCAAGTTTGTCTCCAGAAAATAAACATGCAAACAACAAAAACGAAAACAAAGCCTGCACCCCCATGGCCTTCACCCCATCAAGTCCCCGCCACAGCTGGCCTGGATGCCCAAAAGAGCCAAGAGCCGCCCAACTGGTCTCCCTCCTCCCCGCCACACCACCCTCCCTCACCCACGGGCCTACAGGGCACAGAAAGGCATTTGTCAGCTGCTGCTCGGTGGCCAGCTCCCCTGTACGAGAGCCCCAGGCAGTCCATGGCTGGAATTCCAAATCTCAGTGGACCCGCTCTGAACATGGCCTGTCCCTCCTCCCACCAAGGCCCACCTGTCCCGTGCCAGCTCCCTGCATCCCTCCTACCCCAGGAACACTGTGCATGGGGCCACTCCGTCACTCCCCCTCCTCTGCACACTCCCTTCCCAGCTGTGAAACTGCATGCCTGGCCTTCCATCTCCTGTGACACAGACTCTGGGAGGGCCAGCCCTGTGGACCCCCTGGCTTACCACAACAGAGGCCCGAGTAACTGCTCAATAAATACCCCACAGAAGGGAGCCATGAGTAGGGCAGGGGGCAGAACTGGGAGGGCCTGTGCATGCAGCACTGACGTCTCCCACTGCTGAGGGCCAGGAGCTTGAAGGGGGGATACTGGGGGGTGTCCTGGCTCCCTCCCTCCTTTTTTTTTTTTTTGAGTTGGAGTCTCATTCTGTTGCCCAGACTGGAGTGCAGTGGCACGTTCATGGTCACCGCTGCCTTAACCTGCTGGGCTCAGGCAATCCTTCTGCCTCAGCCTTCCAAGTAGCTGGAACTACAGGCGTGCGCTACCATGCCTGGCTAATTTTTTATTTATTGTAGAGGTCTCGCCAAGTTGCCCAGGGCTGGTCTCGAACCCCTGGACTCATGTACACCTCTCATCTCTGCCTCCCAAAGTGCTGGAGTAATAGGCAAGCCATGGCCCGGCTTATCCTTCTCTTCATACTAAAGGCACCTACCCCCGGCAGCCCTTGGACCACCCAGTGGAACTCCTTCCTCTGCACCTGACACGAGGATCGCCTCCCTCTGATCTTTCTCCGTGACCCTTATGACCCCTTTCCTTTCCTTGATGGGAGCTTGGGGGAGTCTCCCTTCCAGGAGCAAAGCTCTCCTGGAGGTGGCAGCTGCCATATGCCCGATAGCTTCCCAGCGCCCAGAGGAAAGAAGTCTGTCAGATGCATGGGGGAGCGGGGTGGCCGGGGCGGGCATTACCTCCTTGAACCGGGGGTGGGCGGCGTCACCCACCAGCTGCAGAATGAGCCCTTCGCTGGTGCAGAGGAAGGCACCGCTCTGCCGCATGCGGGCCAGCGCTACCAGCCGGTCCACCTGGCTGTGCAGGGAGGGAGGGGAGGTGGGTGTGGATGCCCAGGATGCTGCCTGGGTCCTCCAGGGTACCCCTGCCACCCCCGCAGGCACCCACCGCTGGGGAGCCCTCTCACCTGCGGGAGGAGCAGGCATCCACCACCACGTGCACCTGCAGTCCCCGGTCCAGGAGGTCCAGGGTCGTGTTCTGGGGATGGAGAGAGCGCAGGCTAATCCTAGACAAGAACAAGGGTGCCAGGAGAGGGACTGGGGGCCCGAGGTCAGGCTGAGGGCCCTGGAATGGGGGTGAGGGAGGCTCACGGCAGAGCAGGGGCCCCGGAAGGATGAGGTCCCAGGTCACCACGGGGGTCCTGCTAGGGTAGAGGACTTAGGGACAGGGGATGGTGTTCCCCCGAGGGTAGGGACCCTGGGTGGGAATGAGGGCTCCCAGGGCTCAGGATCTCACCAAGATGCAGGCCTGTGCCTCCAGGCCACAGAGGAGCACAGAGCGCAGCTGGGGCCGGCTGTCCAGCTCCTGCTGCAGGGCGGGGACCATGCTGAAGCAGGTCTTGGTCCACGGCCGCAGGCCCTCGGCCCCCAGCTCGGGCACCGTGGGGCCCAGGCCTTCTGGGTACTGCTCTGTCAGCATGGCTGGCACCTCCAGCATCCGGGCTACCTGTGTCCGGGGCAGGAAGGAAAGGCCAGGGTCTCCTGGGTCCGGGGGAGGAGGGATGGGGGCCTGGACTCCTGGGTCCGGGGGAGGAGGGGCTGGGAGCTGGTCTCCTGGGTCTGAGGGAGGAGCCTGGGGCCTAGAGCCCTGGTCTGAGGGGGGAGGTTGGGATCATACCTTGAGCATGCGGGCGGCCACCGAGATGACCTGTGGGAAGTAGGCAATGTGGTGCCGGAACTTCTCCTGCATGTCGCACAGGAACAGGATGGAGGACCCTGGGAGGACTCGGCCCAGGCAGGGCCTGGCAGCCGCCATTTCCTAGGAGTGGGAGGTCAGGCTGGAGGGCTTCTCCTGGCGTCTCTGCTGTTGACATCCAGGTGCGTGGAGCTTCAGGACCCAGGCCACCTCGCGACCTTCTTCTTACCCTCAGGCCTCTGCCCTGCTGCTCCCCGGGTGGAACATGCTTCTCTCTTACTCCTGTCCTTCTCAGGGGGGAGGTCACTCCCGGGACACCTCCTGGGCTGTGTCCCTCAAGGCTCTGGTGTCACTGCCTTTGGCGATGGCCCACGCATCAAGTACCCCTGGTCTTTGGTGGTCCCTGTCCCCATGCACCCTCAAGGAGGCCCTCAGGTGTCCTGCATGTGGTGCCACTGCCCGAGGCCTCCCAAGTGAAGGGCCCAGCTTGGGTCCTCACCCCACCCCAAGAGGAAACTGAAGCCCAAGCAGTGACGTGCCCTACCTGAAGGCCCAGGGCCAGTAACCCCCCGAGGCCCGCTCTCTGGGCTTCATCCCCTCCTCCTCCCCAGCCTATGGGAATCGTGGCACTCAGAGATCTGTCAAGTCCCATGCTCCTGGTGTGGCCACTAACTCTTCTCTGAACCTCAGTTTACCCATGTGTGAAAACAAACACTGTTTGTTTTGGTATACCCAGGTTTTGGTATACCCGCCCCAAGGGAATATTATTCAGACATAGAACATCGAGAGGAACTGGGCCAGGTGTGATGGCTCACACCTGTAATCTTGGCTTTTGGGGAGGCTGAGGTAGGAGAATCGCTTGAGCCCAGGAGTTCGAGACCAGTCTGGGCAACATAGCAAGGCCTCATCTCCACAAAAAATAAAACTTAAAAACTATCCAGGCATGATGGCACATGCCTTTAGTCCCAGTTATTTAGAGGGTGAGGCAGGAGGATCACCTGAGCCCAGGAGGTTGAGACTGCCATGAGCTGGGATTACACCACTGCACTCCAGCCTGGGTGACACAGTAAGACCCTGTCTCTTTTTGTTGTTGTTGTTGTTGGAGTCTCACTGTGTCACCCAGGCTGGAGTGCAGTGGCATGCTCATGGCCACTGCAGACTCGATCTGCTGGGTTCAGGTGATCCTTCCACCTCAGCCTTCCAAGTAGTTGGAACTACAGGCATGTGCCACCACACCTGGATAATTTTTTGACTTATTGCAGAGATGAGGTCTCACCAAGTTGCCCAGGCTGGTTTCGAATCCCTGTGCTCAGGCAATCCTCTTGCCTCCGCCTCCCAAAGTGCTGGGATTATAGGCATGAGCCACCACACCCAGAGACCCTGTCTTTTAAAAATAAAAAAAAGCAACGAAGCCCGGACACAGGCTCAACATGAATGAGCCTCAACAACACAATGTTCAGCAAAACAGGCCAGACACAAAAGGCCACACAGCGTGTGATTCCACTTGTATGAAACATCCAGAACAGGCAAACCACAGAGTTGGAGAGTGAGACAGAGAGGGCACTGGTGGCTGCCAGAGGTTGGGGCTGGGGACTCAGGTGACTGCACGATGGTGGAGAGCTTACGTCTGGGGTGAGGAGAACACTCTGGAATCAGACAGAGGTGATGGCTGCACACATCACGAAACTGCCAAATGCCACTTAACTGTACACTTGAATATGGCTGAACAGGCCGGATACAGTGGCTCATGCCTGTCATCCCAGCACTTTGGGAGGCTGAGGAGGGAGGATCACCTGAGCCCAGGGGTTTGAGGCCAGCCTGGGCAACTTGGTGAGATCTCGTCTCTACAATAGATAGAAACAATTAACTGGGCATGGTGGCTTGCACCTGTAATCCCAGCTACTCAGGAGACTGAGGCAGAAGAATTGCCTGAGCCAAGGAGGTTAAGGCTGTGGTGGCCATGAGCGTGCCACTGCACTCCAGCCTGGGTGACAGAGTGAGACTCTAACTAAAAAAAAAAATGGCTGAGTGGGTAAATTTCATGCTAAGTATATTATACCATAAAAAAAAAAAAAAAAGCTGGGCTCGGCGGCTCAGCCTGTAATCCCGCGCCTTTGGGAGGCTGAGGTGAGTGGATTGCTGAGTCCGCAGGTGGGTTTGAGACCCGCCTGGGCAGCTTGGCGAGACCTCATCTCTACAATAAATAAAAAATTAGCCGGGCGTGGTAGCGCGTGCCTGTAGTTCCAGCTACTTGGAAGGCTGAGGAGGAAGGATCACCTGAGCCCAGCAGGTCGAGGCTGCAGTGGCTGTGAGCGTGCCACTGCACTCCAGTCTGGACGACAGAGTGAGACTCCAGTTAAAAAAAGGAAGAAAAAGCCAGAGAAGCCACTGGCCAGAAGTTCTTCTGCAGGGTGGAAGCAGAAGCCCAGAGGGGCCTATCACTGCCCAGGGTCCTGTGGTCACTCTGGCCTGGTCTACATTGCCACAGCGTCCACATGGCTAGGCTCTGGGTTCCATGAGGATCAGTGTGTCCCAGTCTGTGACCCTGGGAGGTTTGTGTTCTGGGTCCTCAACCTGCTGCATACCTGGGTATGTCTGTACATTATTTGAGCTCGATCATTTATTTGTTTTGTTTTTGAGTCAGAGTCTCCCTCTGTTGCCCAGGCTGGAATGCAGTGGCTCAATCCCAGCTCATCGCAGCCTGGACCTCCTGGGCACAAGCGATCCTCCCACCTCAGCCTCCTGAGTAGCTGGGACTACAGACACAAACCACCATGCCAGCTAATTTTTTTATATTTTTTATATTTTTTTGGATGAGGTCTCGCTATGTTGCCCAGGCTGGTCTTGAACTCCTGGGCTCAAGTGATCCTCCTGCCTCAGCCCTGCAAAGTGCTGGGATGACAGGCATGTGCCACTGCACCTGGCCCTTGGTGTATTCTGAGACTCAAACAAATCTGGTTTAAGAATGCATGTGTGTAAGCCAGGCATGGGAGCGCGCGCCTGTAGTTCCAGCTACTTGGAAGGCTGAGGCAGAAGGATCGCCGGAGCCCAGGAGGTTGACGCTGGGGTGGCTGTGAGCATGCCCCTGCACTCCAGCCTGGGTGACAAAGGGAGACAATGACTCAAAAATAATGCATGTGTGGCGTGAGGTTGAGGGAAGTCTCCAGGATGTCTCTGGGGACTTCAGCCTGAGCACCAAGGAGACAGAGTTGCTCAGGCTTAAGATGGAATGACAGGAGGAGGGCGGTGGCAGGTTTGGGAGAAAGTCTCAAGAAAGTCTGAGATGCTCATTGGATGTCCCAGGGGCCGTTGAGTGGGCAGGTGGGGACAGCTCGGTGGCTCAGGAGAGACTGCACACATGTCTTCCTCCCTCTGACTTCTCACTAGGTTAGGGAACATATTTATTTCTTATTTTTCTTATTTTTAGTTTTTAGAGACAAGGTCTCGCTTTGTTGCCCAGGCTGGAGTGCAGTGGCATGATCATGGCTCACTAGTCTTGACCTCTTGGGCTCAAGTGATCTTCCTGCCTCAACCTCTCGAATAACTGGGACTACAGGTGCACACCACCACATCCGGCAAATTATTTTTATTATTTATAAAGATGGGCTCTTGCTATGTTGCCCATGCTGGTCTTGAACTCTTGGCCTCAAACGATCCTCCCACTTCGGCCTCCCAAAGTGCTGGGATTATGGGCATGAGCCACTGTCCCAGGCCTATTATTATTATTATTATTATTACTATTATTTGAGTTGGAGTCTCACTATCGCCCTGGCTGAAGTGTAGTGGCACGCTCCTGGCCATTGCAGCCTCAACCTGCTGGGCTCAGGTGATCCTTCCGCCTTAGCCTTCCAAGTAGCCGGAACTACTTATTATTCTTTAACTGCAACACATCTATCAAAGAAAATGTTTTCTGCCTGTACTATATTTCTAATTTTAAAACTAATGGAGCGTTAAAATGGTGAACTGTATGGTATGCAAGTTTTATCTCAGTTTTACAAAACGGAATATAAAGTTCCTAAAACCACAGCAAATTAATCCCATAATCACAGCTGGGACACGTGCTGGGATTTTGAGCCAGCTCTGTCTTGGCAGGTCTGCAAAGCCCCCTCAGGGACTCAAGAGAGAAAAGTGATTCCTGTGACAGCACAGAGCGGGCCTTGTCCCTCATGCCCCAAGCTGCTCTCCACACCCTGCGGCTTCTCTCCGTCCTCTGACCAAGAAGCAGTCCTTGCAGTCCCTCCAGGCTCTGGTCCCCAGCCTCAGCTCAGCTGTGTTTCCCTTGTGCTCACCCCTCACCTGCTAATCCTTCCTGCCCCAGGACAGGGTAGGACTGGACATCCAGACCCCAAGATACGACCTGAGGGAACAGGAGCTGGAGGGCTGGCCCTGGTGGTCTCTGCCCAGGGTAATGAGGAGCCCCGAGGGGCCGATCCAGGCCGCATGTCCAAAGCCAGTGGCTGGTATCTGTGGCAACCAGGAACTGCAGCCTGGCCAGTGGTTGGTGGGGGTAACAGCTCCGGGGGACAGCCCTACAGCTGCATTGCTTTTTAAAAAAGTTTCACTCATTCATTTACTTATTTTGAGTTGGGGTCTCACTGTGTCACGCAGGCTGGAGTGCAGTGGCACAATCACAGCTCACTGTAACCTCAACCTCCTGGGCTCAGGCGATCCTTCCGCCTCAGCCTCTCGAGTAGCTGGGAAGACAGGTGTGCACCACCACACCCAGTTAATGTTTTGTTTTTTTGTAAAGACAAGGTCTTACTATGTTGTTCTGGCTGGTCTCGAATTCCCGGGCTCAAGCCATCCTCCTGCTTTGGCCTCCCAAAGTGCTGGGATTACAGGCGTGAGCCACTGGGCCCAGCCCTAGGTGTATTCTGAGAATTTAACAGACAAATCTGGTTTAAGAATGTACGTGTGGGGCAGCCCCTTTGGGTCCCCTCCCACTGTGGGAGCTTTTCTGTCCTCTCAATAAATCCTGCTTTAAAAAAAAGAATGTGTGTGGTGTGAGGTTGAGGGAGGGCTCCAGGGTGACTCCAGGGGCTTTAGCCTGAGCACCAAGGAGACAGTCACCCACGCCTGAAATGGAATGACTGGAGTGCGGAGGAGAGGGCAGCTTTGGGAGAAAGTCTCAGGAAACAGTCTGAGATGCTGAGATGCTGATTGGATGTCCCAGGGGGCACTGAGTGGGCAGGTGGGGATGACTTGGTGACAGGCGTTTGGACTCATATTTCTGTTTTTTTTGAGTTGGAGTCTCACTCTGTTGCCCAGACTGGAGTGCAGTGGCCGCTCCCGGCCACCACAGCCTCGACCTGCTGGGCTCCGGCGATCCTTCTGCCTCAACCTTCCAAGTAGCTGGAACTACAGGTGAGCGCTACTACACCCAGCTAATTTTTGATTTATTGTAGAGATGAGGTCTTGCCAAGTTGCCCAGGTGGGTCTCGAACCCGCAGGCTCAGGCAATCCACTCACCTCAGCCTCCCAAGGCACGGGATTACAGGCTGAGCACTGAGCCCGGCTCTGGATGCATATTTCTTAAAATTACTGATACATAAGCCCTCTGACCCAGGGAACCTGCTCTTAGGTATTTATCCTGCACACATTCCTGAGACATGACACGAGGGGAACCACTACCGGAGCAAAGGAGCAGAAATAAATCTCAATGTCCTCAGTGAGGGTAGACATCATGGTATGTCCATACTCTACTCTCCTTACAGCCAGAAAAAAATATGAGGAAACTCTAAGTAACAACATGGAGGCCAGACATGGTGGCTCATGCCTGTCATCCCAGTACTTTGGGAGGCCAAGGTGGAAAGATTTTCTGAGCCCAGGAGTTCAAGACCAGCCTGAACAACACAGAGAGCCCTCATCTCCACAAAAAGTCAAAAAAATTAGCCAGGCACAATAGTGCACATCTGTAGTTCAAGCTACTCAGGAGGCTGAGGCAGAAGGATCGCCGGAACCCAGAAGTCGAGGCTGCGGTGAGCTGTGATCATGCCACTGCATTCCAGCCTGGGCAACAGAGTGAGACTCCGACTCAAAGGAAAAAAACAAAAACAAAAAAATATGGAAACTTGTTCAAGAGAAGTTAAGTAAAAAAGAAACAGAACCGTGTGTGTGTGTGTGTGTGTGTGTGTGTGTGTGTTGCTCCCCTATGTGCCAAAAAGAAGGAAAATGTGTCCTCATTGCTTGTCTGCAATCTCTGGCAAACACACAAGGAACAGGGTGCTCAGGCAGGTACACAGGGTGTGGGAAACAGAGTGTGAAGGAGTCTTGATTTTCATGGTGTCCTGTTCCTTTTGAATTATGGACAATGTGTAACAGGTTATCCAGTCAAAAAGAAATACAAAACAACAAAAGATTTACATAAAGTCCAAACCCAGCACAACCCATCTGTGGCGTGAGAAGTCCAGATCGTGGCTACCCTGGAGGATAGGGATGGAACCAGGCGACGGTGGGTGTGACGGATGTCCTGATTTGGGGACTGTTGACACGGGGGTGCTCCCTTTGTGACATTTATTTGAGCTGTGTATCTGTGATCTGTATGAGTTTGTGTGTGTGTGGAATTCTTCCCCCAAAAGTTTTCAAAATAGAAAATACAAATTAGAGGCCGGGTTTGGTGGCTCAGGCTGTAATCCCAGCACTTTGGGAGGCTGAGACAAGCGGATTTCCCGAGCCGGTGAGTTGGAGACCAACCCAGGCAATATGGCGAGACCCCCCTCCATAAATAGAAAATTAGCCAGGCGTGGTGGCCCACGCCTGAAGTTCTTGCCACTTGGAAGACTGAGGAAGAAGGATCTCCGAGCCCAGCAGGTCGACGCTGGGATGGCCGAGAGCGTGCCACTGTACTCCAGCCTGGGCAACGGAGTGAGACTCCAACTCAAAAAAAAAAGAATAAGAATAAAAAATACAAATTAGAGGCCTCCGTGGCCCCGCGGTGGGGCTGGACAGGAGGCAGAGGCTGGGGTCCAATAGGACCGGGGAGACAGACGGGAGGAGGCAGGACGGAGAGACACAGAGGCAGGTGGGACTGTGGGGATGCGGGGGAGGACTCCCAGGTTTCTGGCCCAGTAAGGGGCAGGGCCTGAAGATGAATTAGGGGCCGTGGTTTCTGGGGACAGATGAACGTCTTGGGTGAGAGTTGGGGAGGGAGTGAGTGCGTGGGGGGGGTGTGGAGGGAGATCAGGGGTGGAGACAGACTTGGGCGTTCCCAAGGTCAAGGGGGGCGTGGCTGGAGGTGGGCGGCAACCTGGAGGGGGGTGGGGCTGTTTATTTCCCCACGTGGCTTCGGGGGACCCAGCCCTGGAGCCCGGACTTCCTGGCTGTGTGACCTTGGGCAAGTTTCACGCTCGGTCTCAGCCTCAGTTTCCCCCCCGGAGTTGGAGTCCTCCTGGTTGTGCGGCCTCGGCCCGGGACGCGCGGACTGAGCCTCAGTTTCCCCAGCAGCAAGGAGGGAAGGTCGGTCTCCAAGGCGGGCAGCGAGGGGGACCTACCCGGAAGATGACGGGCTCGAGCCCGGGCCGGCCCCTTCGCGGGTGAGACCTGGGGGACACTCACCTCTGGCGGTTAGGCTTCCACCGCTCGGCCCTGTCGCCGGGTCCCCAGGCCGGGTCACCGTTTCGCTCGGTTCCGACACGTGGCCCGCCCCCAGCGCGGTCCACGTCCCGCCCACCCGGGACGGGCCGTCCAATCGACAC